GACAGTTAACTTGTACATCAAAATTTTTAGAAATTAAGTGTAAGTGTCTAGCTAGCAGGAAGAGAATATAATATCTGAGGTAGTAAGAGATTCCTATATCAAATTAAAGGTTTCACTGTAGCTAAAATTGACCTACTAATTCCCACTATTGTAAAAGTACATGTACATACATGCTGTACATTGTATGCACATTACTGTTGATGTGAATAGCTTCCATTGTTTGCTAGTTGTGATTGAAAAGCACTCCATGATAAAGGAGCTGATAGCCTTCTGGAATATAATAAACAAATAAATAAACAAACAAATAAATAAACAATACATGTTTATTTACCTTTCATTGATCATGGATTGATTAGAAGTAGAAGTAACTGACGTTAGAACACTACAAATAGACAGAGATACATTATACATGAACACTAGATACATGTACCCTATTGTGGTCACAGTCTTTATACATACATGTACAATAGAATGGGACTAGAGGTGGCTTAAACTTAGTGAGCACAAAAATAACAAAAATTATGCTGCATACAGTGAAATATTATTTGCATGTACATGTACTGACTGAACTAACCCTTCATGTCTTGGATAAGCACTTGATAATACTCTTGAACTACAAATAACACCTTAAAATAATAATAATAATAATAATAATAATAATAATAATAATCCATCTTTTTCAAAGACTGTCTGTGACCCTGTGGCGGTCCAATGCCCAGATGTGGTTGGGTCGGTCTTCCATTTTGTCCCCTGAGGTGGATGGTCAACTGTAGGACGTTTTGTTTCATTTTTATTTTATTGTCATTTTATTTTGTTATTATTTTATTATTGTTATTTTATTTTATTTTCCTATTTTTGGTTGGTCCCCATTTTTCGTTTCTATTTTTCTTCCCTTATGGGCTTTCCCTTTTTGTCTCTCTTGTCTCTCATTGTGTATAATAATAATAATAGAGCGGGGATTACTATCTATCCTCACCAGTAAACATTAAGCTTATCAAATCTCTCTATTGACTTATTTCATTTTATTTTATTAATATTATGTTCTGCCTTATCTTGCTATATTTTCTTGTCCACCTTATTCTTTTATATTTCTTGTTATGATAAAAAAAAATAATAATAAATTTAATTACCCATTCTCCCATCAATTGGTGGTGTCCTTATACTCAGTCTGCCAGGAGCAATCAGTGAGTTTAATACTCTCTAAAATAAATAAACAATATCAGCAACGAGACACCTACAGTGCTTGGGACTCGCTGCAGTTGCTCTTGAATTTATGTAAAAGCAATGAAATATGGGCTTCATCTCTATTATGCAGCATGATAAAGACAAGGACCATGATTCGTTGCTTTAATAGTGCATGTTTTCACTGACTCAAGTCAAAAGAGCTTTAAAAAACTAACACCTATTGTGATGGCACAGATACTGTTGTCTTGATAGATTATATTTGCTGAAGAGATCATGCATAAGACAGCAAAACAAAAAATAATGCATTAAGAAATGCAAGCATGTAAAATTGCCAATTATTAATAGAGGCATGGTTTCTAGGCCTAGAGCACTTAGTTTTTTAATTTAAAATATTTTTCAAAAATTTCACGATCACAGACAGACAACCAAAGTACTTAATACTCACCTATGCGGCGAGTCCAATTATAACACATATGTACCATGGTTTTTTTCAAAAAATGGCCCCAAAATCACCCCAAATTTTTATTGCATTTTCTGATACCATATTGATGTCCTTATGCTGTGTAGCAAGTTTGAGCTGATTCCGACTTCAATTTTTCAAGTTACGGCCATTTTTAAAAAGCGCCAAATTTCTGAAAAGTACCCAAGGCTATAGCCCATGGTTTCTT